ACAACAACAACAACAGCAGCAGCAACAACATCAACAGCAACAACAACAGCAACAACAACAACAGCAACAGCAACAACAACAACAGAAACAGCAACAACAGCAGCAACAACAACAACAGCAGCAACAACAACAACAACAGCAGCAACAGCAACAACAGCAACAACAACATCAACAACAGCAACAACAACAACAGCAACAACAACAACAACAGCAGCAGCAGCAACAACGACAACAGCAGCAGCAGCAACAACAGCAGCAACAAGACTAACAACGTACCCTCATAAGTTCATTGATACACGAGTGATATATTTTGTAGCAAGCGTTAACGGACGGCGGACCAATGTAGTGCTTAATATCAGCCCTATGAATGTAAAATAGCTACTATAAATACAGTAACATAGTACAAAAATAATAAGTAATTCAAAATTCATCAAAAATTTATTAATAATATTGATAATTATCATGTTTATGTTGAAATTAAATTACCTGTCAACAAACGCCAAATCAATCGCGCCTGTAACGTTAGACGTCGTCAATATAATGACATTGGGATACCTGATAGATGAAAATTAATATTTGTTTTTGACACCTTTAAGACATAAATCAASATGTAGTATACTGAAAATGGTGGAAACTAGCGGTWAACTAGTGTGAGCTGCGTCGGTGTTTCTAAAGAAAAAGATAAAGATAAATATAACACGGTAAAAAGTAGGTGAAATAACCTACTGACGTTTCGGATKTTAATCCTTCTTCGGAGTGAAGAGGAGCTCTTACATTTATCTTTTTACACAACTAGTATACTGAAAGCTATTTCAGAAAACGTTGAATACTACATAGTGCATTCCAAGACCGCAATGAATTGTTACTATCAAACTCCAAGTTGGCTGCCTTACAAATTAATAATTTTAACTTTAATTGCTTTCCATTTGAAGTTTTTGACTGAGCCATTGAAGTCACTGTGGCACCAAGGAATCTCCTTTCAACGACGATAGATCGACCAAAAATGCATTTCGATCTTGGAATACACTATCTTTAGTATTCAACGTTTTCTTTATATKAATTAATATTACCGTTTAATCTGATCGATTTGTGTTAATAGTGCATTT